CGCTCCATTCCTCGGTGCCCGTTACGTTCCTCGAAGTTGCAGACGTTCGAATAAAGTCGCGTGCGTTCGTGTCGTTTGCGTAAAGAAAGAAAAAAAACACGCATCTGAGGCAACTGCCTCCTGATTTTTTTTTTGTGAGCGGTTTGGTATTGAAATCCAGGAGGGCTGTAACTGCGTTCCGTTTCATCCCTGGCATGCCTGATAATTTACGGCTGAAAGGTAAAGTCACGTAGAATGAGAATAAAATGATAAAATAAAATAAGACAATAAAATTCTCACGACGTTTCGGGACGACAGAGCGCTGTCGTCCCGACAGTTCTGCTCTTTCACCTGAAGAAGGCTACTCGTGTTGTGGCCGAAACGTCGTGAGAAATGTGTTTGTCTTATTTTATTTTATTATTTTATTCTCATTCTGCGTGACTTTACCGAAAGAACCAAAGAAGGTGAATCCTTGCAGTCACGAAAGCTTTAAATCGAAATTAAGTTACGGAACAATGCCTCACTCCTTTGCTCTGGTGAACCACGGCCCCAGCCCGTGCGACGATCTCATCATTTCACTGAGATGGTCCAGTATCGCCCCCTCCCCCCACAGCCCCGTTATGGCTTCATTTACCACGTCCCCTCCTGAAAAAATAACAATAACTCTGGAATTTTGTGGCGAACCACGCCGGTTTTGCTTGACAATAAGCAGCGTTGACGTGACGAACCCAGCGGTCTCACGCACAGCTGGTGAACTCTTATCTCCTTGCGTGTGCGGTTGATAGCCAGAGGCCGGCACGAGAACTGGGGGACATTTGAGTGGGTTCCGGCGTTTATAATTATATTTCTAATAGCCAGCTACACGATCCGCACGATTTTCAGGCACCGCTGCGTCACGTCTCATGCCGTGGCCAGAAAACAGTCATCTTCAAGTGCGGTGCATGGGACGCATAAAGACAAAGATCCCCCGTATTAAACTAACGGACTCTTTGGGGCAAGTGCCATTAACGAGCACCTATGAAGGCCGCCTCGACACACAAGGGCGTGGGCTGGCCAGCGCCAAGCGCGAGTCGATTTTGCCTCCAAAGATTCAAAAACTCATTTCTTTAGAATTGCTTTTTGTGTTTAGTTTGTTGTCCTCACCACAAATTAGCACAATTGGCTACGTACGGAGAAGCTCAAGATACATCCGTACAAAGTACTTATTCGAGGCTGAGTCGACCTAAGGGAGGCTCAGATAATCGTCGCTGGTGTTGGCCGTGAGCCGGAATGGAACTTGGGTCGCCGGGTTTTGTAGCGCGAGGCGCTAACCGCTGCACCACCGCTCCCACGCACGTACACTGGCTCAAGCCACACGCGCACCCCTTCCCCTCTTAACCCCTCCAAGGAACATCCCCGACCCCCCCCCCCCCCCCCATGGGAAAGTAATGAATGTGCTTCCTCCACGCAGCATCTTTAGCTCGGGGCCCACTCCATTCATTCATCTCTCGCTCTCCACACACATGGGGCATTAACTCAAGTCCCAACTCAAAATAGCAGCCTGCGTGGGCTCACACAAATTATTCCCACTGTCTGTTCCAGGTATGAGATGATGGGTTTCTTTTTTTCTTCACAGCCTGTTTGTGTAAACATTTTTAGATATCTTTGTTTTTCGAGAGATTTGTGCGCATTTTTTTTGCGTGACTTTTCACGTAAGTTGCAACGGCATTGGTTGTAGCCACAGTATACAGGTGCGCTTGACCAACCCGCAGCGACCAGCACAGTGAAGTATGGTAAAAATAAGCCTCACGACCTCGACAGGCATGGGAAGGGGCCTCATCTAGCAGTGGATTGACGATTGCGCTGTGTATGTTTGTCCATTGTTTTTTTAGTAAACACCTTGACTGCCCCTCAAATACATATGAATACTCTTCCTACTTCACGCTATATTAAGATTGTGGGTGTACAATGAAGAGCTTACATTTTGCGTTGTGCTGCACACTTTATCTCCCAAGTGCCATACACTCTGCAAAGTCACCAAATAATGCGCACCGCAACACCGATGTTAAATTGTGTCCAGAATAACGCACTACGTGCGTGCCTTCTGTATCGATTACATATTGCTTAAGCCAGGTGTAATGAACCGACTGCAATCACAGACCGAATTGTGGACCAATTTGTGCTTTCACCGCGAATCATTTGAGCCACACCTGGTGCCGAGAATGTGAAAAACTCATGTTGAAGCGCCCCAGACTTGGTTTGTAGTTCAGCGTCGGTCCTGGGGGACAAGAACTCTGCAAGCCGGAGCCGTCTCGGGTAAAGCCAGGACACGCGGTCCACCCAATTGCCGAACTCTCGTTGTAAAATGTTGCCCTGACGTCTGCGATCCAAACATTGTGATCGCTATTGCAGCCTGCAAGGTGTTTCTGATGTTTTATTGCCAACATACGAGAGGGCATAAACTCTGTACACTGGGGTCCTTTAGTCTTCCCAGCAACATTTTCAGAAGTCCAAGGCGCTGCACTTTAAAGAAAAACAGATGCAATGATTTGGTCTAACCGCGTACATTTTGGTTTCCTGAGCATTTTATTGATTTGGAAAACATCCAAGTCATTCTCAATGTAATTATTTACTGATGTAATTTTTTAGATGTTTTATAAACTATCATGTTACTCTCGTACAATTTGACATTCGTTCTTGGAAGATTGATTGTATCTACGAGCAGATGGGACACTGATTGCTTCAAGGATTAAGGCATTCTGGAAACCACAGAAGGCAATATTGAAAACATTTGGTAATAAAAAAAAGCTTCACTTACCCCTGCATCTCATATTTTTGTCGAGGTAAAATTAACCCTTGTGCATCAAATAAGGAATGTCATTAATCACCCATGTCCTTTACTAAAAGCAAGACACAAATCTCACGTAAAATAACTTACATCAGAACTTGATTATCATCGGAGTCATCTTAGAGCAGTGGTTCTTAATCTTTCCTGCAGCCTTGCAACCGCTGTGGTTTTTAATCGTAAACAAACTTTTGTGACTGCAGGATTTCATATTCTATGTTTTTTTCGGTAAAGTCACGTAGATAGAAAATATAATAACGATAAAATAATAAAAATAAAGTGCTCATTGGTTTTTTTCGGTAAAGTCACGTATGTAGAAATACAATAAAATTATATTAAAACGAAACAATCACGACGTTTTAATATTATTTTATTGTATTTCTAGATACGTGACTTTACCGAAAAAAACAATGGGTAATTTTATGCAGTCACGAAAGCTTTAATTCTTTATTAAAAATAAAGTGAATACAAAAAAAATCACGACGTTTCTATCGCAACACGAGCAATCATTATGTTTTATATCTACGTGACTTTACCGAAAGAACCATAGAATAATCGTAAACAAGTTATGTTAAATACATAGGGGTTTGATGAAATAACGTAGTCGTACTTACGTGCCCTTGCTAAATTTTTGTTTTCAATGATTTACCTTCTAAAAAAATCTGGCCATGTCTCGTACCCCCAGAAGGCATCTCGCACTCCCAGGGGGTGCTTGCACCCCAGGTTAAGAACCACTGGCTTAGAGTAATGATCTCATCTCTTTTTGACAAAGACATATGTGGCATTACTTCACTTGGGGGTAGACCGGCGGCAAGTGGTTTACGCACCATGCTAAGAATCTAGCGACCTGATGTTGATTGCCGGGCAATGGCTAACATCAGTGGTGAGTGATGTCTAAACCAGTCCTGTGCCCCCACCTTCAGCAACATACACTGACTGCTGTGGTGGTGAAGTATTATCAAACGACTGCCACGACTGAGAAGCCAGGGAATGCCTTCATCCAGCAGTGGATTGATAAAGACCTCTAAATAAAATAATTTCACAATGACAAACTTTATATATTATATATTTTTTTTTATTTGTTTACATATTTTTTTCTTTTGCATTTCGTCAAAAATGTTACATTTTAACTTGTTTATTTTCACTACATTAGAGCAAAGGCTGATTTAAAAAGTAAAAAAAAATAAGTTAAAAGCAGGCAATGTGGTTCTGGAACTGGCTGGCTTTAATAGTAAACACTTTAATCACGGGATTTATAAATTGCAAAATTCTCAAAGAAGGAGTAGAGGTTTACTTAGATGAACATGCATAGCAAGATGATGACACCTATCAAATGCAGCATGAGGGCTGAAGTCCCTAGCAGTCAACCTTTCTGTTCTTGTTCCTTGATATACAGTTCGCGAGCCCAGGCCAGATGTCTCACTTGTCGGTACCGCCTGTCAATTAATTTGATCAATAACAGTGAATTATGTGAAATGAGTGAGCTATCAAATAATTCACTCTTATTAGTCATGTAAATCAATCGGTACTGCTTCAGTTTTTAGGCAGTATCAATTTCTGCTCCAGCCCATGGGCTAACAGTACATGCTGAACTTGCAATAAGTGCAAGGTTTACATAGTTTAATTTGTACAAACATGTGCACTTCGGTTAGCTTTCATCCAGAAACCCACGTGTTTAAAATTAAGAAGGACCTTTGGAATATGCTTGAAAACGTTCCTGCGTTAATATAATGGAACCCCAAACCACAAATTTAAATAAACAAAAAGAAATGCATTAAAGCTTCCACGTCGTGGGATTAAAGATGCAATCAGTATTTTTTTGTTTGTTTTAATCTAATTTTGCAGTCCCACAATGCCAATGTAAGTGCTCGCAATTGCAGGAACGTGAAAGCATTGCACTGCTCTTAACACAGCAACAAAAAGATCCACGCACAAACCAGTCGTGATGTCCATGAGGTTGACACGCAAGCGTGGCAGATAACCTCACGTTAAGGCTGGACATGTAAACACAGTAGCTGCTAAAATAGCATGGAAAGTGTGCGTGAAGCTTACAAACAAGCAACGGATATTCATCTATAAATTACAATGTGTGCATCGTTAGTAATGTCAGATCTATAATACTTATCTAAACTTCGTGTCAGACTTCAACATTATGTTTTAGTAATGTACATACAGTATATACCTTTATTTTTAAATATTTTTTTTCATGAACGTAAATGCTTACATTTTTTCTTTAACATGTCATTCGCCTGAAGTGTTTAAAAGTTTTGCTCAGGGTCGAGGTAAAGGGCAAATGTAAGGCTGCTTAAAAGTCCTTGGGCCGGATCATCATGACCGTCTCTCTCAGGGAGTAGTTGACCCCTCGCCAATAATGCCACTTGACCCCGTTGATGCGACCTCTGTACTGGCCACCACCGTAGTAGGCTCCGTTGAGGTTGGAAGGGCCGCAAGCATCAAACCACCAACCTGGAACGAGAACACACATCACGTGTCAGCCGCTGTCTGGACCGAATTACCGACTGGGATTATCCATTCGCGTCAGGCGCAACGTGTTGCTGAGTGCGGGCTTCTTGTTCGACGATAAGCGGGAAGGGGAATTTTTGTGCCGATACGTGACAGATAGACTGCTAAAGCTCTGCTATGTTTAACAAATGTGGTTACTTTTTCACCCACTATCCACTTCAGCTTTTTTTTTTACTTTCCACCTGCTCTGCTTTTGATTCGCCTTTTTAAATTTTTCTCGTCCTGTATAATTCCACAGGTACATTTACAATTAAGAAGTGGGGAATTCAAAGTGACATCAAACCGCTCAGTAGTGGTAAATGTGCAGTTATTATTTATTAATAGTGACATAGTACACATAGTATAAACATATTAACAACAAACCATAATAGCGTTAGGCATATATTGACATTTTCTATCAAATATTTTGTGGAAAGCACCTCAGCTACACATGAATTGGGCATCAGCGTTCTATTGGATGACATGGCTTCATGACTTATACTTCCACTTCCTGTTCAGAAGAGTCCAGGGTTGGAACAAGACTCAAGAGGACTCTGTTTGGCCAGAAAACGATGAGCCCCAGAAGGGGCAAATCTGGTTCAGAGTTTGCATATTTAAGCAAATGCTGCTGGCGAACAAATATAGAGAAGTAATAGGTTTTTACCCTTTTATCTGGCACCAAAACTGACACCTTTATACAAGGGATCGTGTTTGCAATAACCACAACACAAGCAGTCAAAATGCAAACAAAAAGAGACAACTCTGATAATGATATTGGCACTGTCCTTGAAATTGTTTGGTCCACACCCGAGACGGCTTTTCTTAGAGCCCAGTCTCCACTGGTGTTGGACCAGATGACGCCAAAAGGCGTACAACTCAAAAACAGTGCACCATCAGAGCATTGAGAGCTCGGGATAAGCATTTACACTATAAATATAGAGAAGGCCAAGAGGTGCGTAAACTTAAAAGTATTTTATATTGACGTGGAGATTTACAACAAAATGTGATAAAATGTATAAATTGTTTGGTAGGGTTTGATGGAGACGCCTTCCCAGTACTCACCCTGCGGTACTTATTGTGGTGTCCATCAGATGGTGTTCATTTTACTGACCCCTGGAGGGACTACACCCTGGCTTGGACTTCAACTGAGACGTTCACAAGTGTTGTCCTCGACCAATTGTGCTACAAGAATTGTTGCAATCTACAGCCCTTTGTCAATCCACTGCTTGGTGAAGACCCCCTCTCAATGCAGAGTTTGACCAAGCGTGACCGCTGAGATGATGCGGGTTGGTGCAGTTCGGGATGTCTGCTTCACCCATCACTCGCCCAACCGATGTTACCGTGGCCAGGAATCAAAAGCGGGATGCTGGGTGCATAGCACAGTGCGCTAATTACTGCATCGCCACTCCTGAGCTACACGTTGGTCGTAAATAAGTTGTAAATCAACAAATGTTGTGGTAGAGTGACGATGCGCTGGTTGTGATACTGAACTATGAACCTAGTGACCTGAGTTGTATTCCTTGGTGGTGACATCCGCACCGGTTCTGGGTTTCCCATCTCACCATCCCACACCAATCAGCACTGTGAAGTTTGGTCAAACAACCCCCGCTTGGGGAGGCCTTCGTCCGAAGGTGCACTGACAATGGCTGACGACGACAATTAGAAGGCTCCTTATTTTTCGAGGAGAGTCTCATCGAGTCTAAACACTCCGATTAGCGTGGTTGGCTACGGACGGTGGGAAAGAAGTTCAACATACACGCACACATACGCGATCCGAGCGGACACGGACCCGCTCGCGTGCACGTTGATCGTTGCTGTGTGTGTGTGTTTTTTTTTAAAGAGGTTTTTGCGCTAACCTCCACTGCTCATCTGGGAGCACTTGCAAGCACAGGCGTCGTTGTCCACGTCTCTGGTGCTGAACTCGGGGTTGCCCATGCCCAGGCTGCTGAATTTGCCGGCCGTGCCCGAGTAGCCTCTCGCGTGCAGCCTGTTGGAGCGGAGGCACGCGTCGAATACGTCACGCCAAGGGAACACGTGCAGCCCTCTCTGTCAATCCACTGCTGGATGAGCGAGAGATAGCCTCCCCAGTAAAGGTGGGGCAACGTTGGCCCAACGTGACCACTGGGGCCCCCATGCCGTGCGAGTCGTAGATGTTACTGAGTCACACTGAACGACGATTGGTACAGGTCGGCTGAAGGGCCATCCATTCAGTACGTACGCATGGAGGGGGGGTTAACCCAAATGCGTTCGCTTGCGTTTGGGGGGGGGGGTCTATTGACAATGTGCGTACGCATAGGAAACGGGGGAGGGGTGAAGCCTCGATAATAATGCAGCCGGCGGGGACTATCTGTTTGCTTAAACACGTTAATATTATTAATCCTTGATCGTTTCTGCGTGGATTAAATATCGGCCGTTCAATAGGATTCGGGGGGGGGGCGGATTGTACGTACGCAGGTGGGGGGGGGGGGGGTAAGACGTACGCATGCGTACAGGTTTTTGCGTACGTACTAAATGGATGGCCCCTAAGACGAGGAGCATTGATGTCAGTTTAAGTAACTGTAAAAATTATGGTTTTTGGTGCACTGCCCTCTGCTGCCCACAACTTAGCACAGCAAACTACAGGGTGTTTGAAAATGATGGACCCAATTTAAAAGCAGTATATTTCACGATGGCAACATGTTACGAATACACAAAAAGTTACAAACGGTTTAATGAGTTTTAACGTTTTACTAACCATTTTATAAATGCTCTATGTGCCCTCCACCCGCTGTACGGACAACATCGAGACGATAGTTGAATTCGTCCCAAGCGCCTCTCTTCTCACGTTTCCCTCTGAGGTGCGTGGTCGCCCTGTGCTCTTCCCCTTACATCAACAGCAGCCCGTGTCCTCAAACTGTCGGTACCAACGACGAACGCTCTTTGACATTAGCGGATCAATGCCAAAACGCCGTTGAAACGCGGGCTGCACCGCAATTACGGATTCAGTCTTGCTGAACTGCAGAACGCAAAACGCCCCTTGTGATGCGGGGTCACCGTCTTGCGAATGATTGAGGCTAGGGGCTGTTTGTGCGCTGGGAGAGGCATCGAGCGGTCATCATTTGAAACTCTATGCCGCGCCCTTTCAAGTGGTAAGAGTTTCATTCATGGGCGGTTCGTGCTTGCAGAGATATAGCGATTTCAAATGGGGTCCAACTTTATCAAACAACCTGTATAACTGCCTGATTCATGCACCGTGGTCAGCCACGCAAGCATTATCCAAGCTCAAACCCGCTTAGCTTCCAAGCTCTAACGAGATCAGGCAGCTCTTATACATTCCTTGATGGCTTACCATTTTGCATTTTATTCCTGGTATACAGTGCTTGTAATGGTAATATTAAATGTATTACTTCAGTGATCGCATCATTCTGTTAAGAATATAAGTGAATTATTTTGGTGAATTATGGCAATTTATTCTATATTTAGTTTACAGGTTTTGCTGTATGCAAAACTGATTTGAGTAAGCACAGACCACCCCTTAGACACTTCTCACATGTGTACCATTTTTTTTACAAAGATAAGAGAGAACCACGTTCATTGCTCAATTGGAAATGTCAACTACTCATTGCTTACGAATAGCTCAATTTGAATATACATAGCAAGCATCGGCCCCTGGAAAAAGATTCGTGAGACTCAGCGACGTTTTCCTGAGTAAGCAATCATAAGAATACATATTATTAATACATAAAAATACATGAAATGGTCGATTTAGTACATAATCAACTATGACAGCAAACTGGTTTTAGAATCGTTATTTTTTTTACCATTGAACACGAATACCATCAGGTTCTAGAAATGACAATCCATAACCTACACTGCTATCATGCACTGCTTTTATGGACCAGGCAACGGCATTTGATTCAGTGGAAGCTAAAGCAGTCGTCCAAGCTCCACATGGAGCAACACCTGATTTAAAAAAAATAACCATTCATGAAACATAAAGTAAGAAAATGTAATTTAAAAGTCGAGTCAAACCATTATATCTCACCAAGGCTATTCACAGCAGCACTAGCAGTTATATTCCAAGGATATCACACAGCCAAGAGCGATGAACCACATGCATTTATTGAAAAGTAACAAAAAATGCTACAAAGATTAAGATGTTCAAAACGAAAGTTTGATCAAAAGAAAAAAGACAAGTGTAAAATGGATCAGTGCATGTATAATACCAAGGGGAATTATTGCAGATGGACTAAGATCTAAAGTTATGAAATAAAGATGTGAGCTACGTCGGTATGAATTTTTTGGAAAATGGAAAATAGGACTGAAAAACAGCGTACCAGTGCACATAAAGAATAACGCTTTCCATCAGTGCGTATTATGTGCCATAACATACGGATTTAAAACCTGGAATCTTCCAAAGAACATGAATTATTACATACACAGTATGTGTGAATGTATTCTATAAAAAATATATATATGTGAATTCACATGGTCACGTTTCGGATACACGGACCAGGTGGTTGAAGTGAATTGTGTGAGTGGCTATCTATTCAGTGACAACTTCACAACATATTCAGAATCATAATCTGTATTTACACAGGAGGAATCCGATTAGCTATGAATCTCTTTTTCACAGACGTCCAGTATGGGGGGGGGGGGGTCAGCAAGTTACAACGACAAACATTACACAAATGGTATTCTAATAAACAATAAAACGAATACTTATTGTTAACTCGGGAATGTTAATGATACAGAAAATGGGTCCAGTGCATCGAACAAAATGCTAACTTACGTTTAATTGCAGCAGAGCTACTACATATCAGCAATGCAAATGGTGAAATGTGTTGGTAAGTTTGCCTTTGTTTTGTAGCAACAAAATTCCACCAACTAAAACGTGAACAAGTTAAATAATTAAAATGGGCGGTGAGTTGTATGATCTAATTCATACATCTAATTCATACAACTCACTGTCCATTTTAATTATTTAACTTGTTCACGTTTTAGTTGGCGGAATTTTGTTAAAAGATTTTTAAAAAATATGCGACTGTAATAGGTGTTATAATTTACAAATTTACCTCGTTATGCCTATAGTAATGATTTTCATTACATCCATAAATCTCAATGTCATTATATGTTAGGCTGACGGACATGTTATTTTATTCTACGCATTTTGTTTGTATGTGTAGTGAGTCATTTCAGAGACACTATTTAGGAGGCAACAACGTTTATTCTACAATTACGTAACACCGTTACACACGGGACTGAATACACCAATCTCTCACTCTTGTTACACACGGCACCACGATACAGCTATTCCTCTCGTGTGCGGGATAACTTTAATCGGGTCAGAGCAGCCAGCATGCTGTCTGACCCACAATGTCGGACACGTAGACGTAGCACTTGGCTTCCACTTCACCTGCAGACAGCCCCGATATTCGATCGGAACTTCCCTTTTATCCTTCCAGGCGCCACCTGGCTCCGCCCTTAACCACGCCCGCTTCGGGAACTCTCCAGACGTTTCTCAGCTACTCTTCCCGTGTGCCCTCGTTCACCCTTGGCCCACTTTCCTCACCCCGGCCCATCACGTGCCCCACATGCCCCCCCCCCCCTATCGCCAGCCGCCCCCACCACACTCCCTCAGTGACCGACTCTGTGGCAATTACCTGCGGCGCTGGCGGAGGCTGCTATCCCCTACTGCAGGGGTCCCCAAGCCCCGGGCCACGGACCGCTACCGGTCCGTGGCCTGCTAGGAGCCGGGCCGCACAGCAGCAGGAGGTGAGAGCGGTGAGTCCGATCACGTGGCCCGCCCCCATTATTTTATTATTCACCACTTCCGTCCGCACCTCTTTCCCGCACTGCGCACTCGTCTCAGTCAGTGTTGGTAAGCCCACAAGCTGACCCCTAGTAGCCACAATGAGTAAGCCCACAAGCTGACCCCTAGTAGCCACAATGAGTAAGCCCACAAGCTGACCCCTAGTAGCCACAATGAGTAAAAAACAAACGTCGCTGGAGAGCTTCTTTGAAAAGGGGGAAAGACCCAATGATGAACTCCCCCCCCACCGGTCCGTGAAAAAATTGTCTTCCACGAAACCGGTCCCTGGTGCCAAACAGGTTGGGGACCGCTGCCCTACTGTGTCGGTAGGACTCATCTGGCTTCCTCCTGCGAGCACCCAGTAGCATGCCCCGAGTGGCCCACTGAATGGTACTGCACGGTGTGTTAGCCTCTGCGCCCATTTCTACGGCACTTGGCGCGACGCGCCGTAGCGATCCATTTAACATCACTACACATGTAATAGTGTGCGTATCTGCTGGTTACATCTGAATGTGATTTACACACTTGCTCCGTCATAATATCATCCTCATGTAAGTTTAATTCACACTATCATTTTTTCCCCAAAGAAGTTTTGGCCATACATGCACGAACACCCATGAACAAACACGCATGCACATATTAGCATACTGCCACTTAATCAAATACTGAATCATAGATGAGCCCTTGTGGAAATACAGGAAATATGAGCTTGTTGTTGTTGTAATTACACTCCAGGCATGATATTTATTAACATTCATGCACTATGGTGCTAGATAACTAGATGGGACAACGTTTTAAGCCTTTGCATGTTAACAACTGCGTTTTGCTATTACTTTGTGTAACCGAGTTAGATTAAGGAATAATGTTTCTTGCAGAATTTAAGAAGTATCCTGTAAAATCCAGGCTGTATTGAAAAGCAAGAGAAAAGCCTGCCAATAAACAATACCCAGTTCATGTCATGCCAAGACGAAGTATATACTGTAGAACCTCACGTATAAGGAAAAGAGATGTTAACAAATAGCTTCCAGACCCCAAAACGATTGCATCTGCCAATGCAAGCTCATCTTCCCAGTCGACATATATATTTAATTAAAATCAACCTCAGCCAGACCCTTCTAAAAGGAGACCAGAGACCATGTGGATGATTTTTCGGGTAAATACATTTGCCGATATTTATGTTTGCGTAACATGCGTCC